CCCCGCCAAAAGAGAGAGAAAGCAGGGGAGGGAGGGGCAGAGGGAGAGAGAGAATCTTGAGCAGGCTCCATGCTGAGCCTGACACAGGGCTCGATCCCACGATCCTGGGATCATGGCCTGAGCCAAAATGAAGAGTTGGATGCTCAATGGACTGTGCTACCCAGGCACTCCTATTTATCCTTTCAATTCATTGTTTAGATCCTTCTAGTTTTGCCGAATACACACTTTTTAAGGATTCATGGTTGAAGAAAAATAATGTGAGAATGTTAGATTAAAAAATATCTACTGGTTTTGGGTGATGGGGATTAAGGAGGGTACTTGTTCAGATGAGCACTGGGTGTTATATGTAAGTAATAAATCACTAAATTCTGTTCCTGAAAACATTATTACACTATATGTTAACTAACTTGGGTTTAAATAAAATTTTTTAAAAAGTGTTCTTGAACACACACACACACACAAATAAAAAAATATCTAAATGTTTCATGTAGAATTGATGCAGCTAACTCTTTTAAACATAGCTTTCCAAATCTCTATGTATATAATCTTAAATTATAGCCACTGAGTGATTATGAACTTCCTTATAGATTGTTTTTATTTTACTCTATTTTGTCTTTCAGGTATATTGTTGATGATTTTGATGTTCAACTTTTTCCTTCCATGGCTGTATAACAACCATACAATTAATAAAAACGAATAACTATTCCAAAAGACTCAGACTAAGTTACAGGACAGTCAAGCTGGAGGTGATAAAGATTTTATCACCTCATATTCAACATCCTGGCTGCACTGGACTCATCAATGTTTAGCTTCCTCTGAGGAAGCTGCCTTGTAGTTTTCATCACTGGAACTGAAAGAAAAAATTACTGTGAAAAGGAGATATCCTGTGTTTCTCAGTTAAGACTTGTTCTTTTGAGTGTGTATTAAATGCTGCTAGAAAAGGCATTACATGAAATATAAATCTCAAGTGATAATTAATTTTGATGGGGAAAAAAAAAAGCAGAGGGGAAGAAGGGAAGGGAAGTGATGGTAGGACCACAGAAAGTGTGTGTACCAAGTATCATCTGAATGAACAGGATTTTTAACCAATGTATGACCAGTCATGCTTACAGACCCAGAAAGGGTACTTTTCAGCCACTACCTCACACAGTGATGCCATCAGCAGTGTCACCTATCAACAGGAAAGTTGCTTGGGGAAGTAGATTATATATCCACTCACACTCAAGGGGTTTCCTAAATTTTAAATATATTCTAATCTAAAATATTTTCTCTAAACAGACAATCTCACTAGCTTTAGGCAGGTTGTTATTCTTGAAGAGAATAAACAAAGCACTCACAAAAGGCAGGAGGTAAGCTTTTCACATTCTCATTTGATCCTAACAGCTACCTTATGTAGTAGGTAGGGCATGTATTTTTAATCTCCACTTTACAGATAAGGAAACTAAGTCCAGAGGGGTTTGCTGTCCTGACTGAGGTCAAAAAGACTTCTATTTCAATACAAAAAATTTTCTCAGTCATCATTATGACTTAAGGAAAAATTGAAGATTTTGAAGCAACATTAAAGATTTTATAATCTTTAAAACTTTATTATAATCTTTCAAATCTTTAAAATTTATTTAGGAATTAATTAGTTTGTGTTTTGTTAGGTTTAAACAGCCTGTAAGTTTTCTTCCATTAGCTTTCTTTTATTGTATGAGGTCTCCTTTTCCTTAAAAGTTCAGGTCATAAATAAGGGTAAGTGCATTTCTCTTCATAGGAAATTCCATTATCAGGGTTAGAATTGAAAGTAAAAAAATATGGGGTGAGATCAGATCTGTTTGAGTAATAATTAAGCAACTGATAAATTGCCAGGTAATGTAAGTGCTGTTTCGTGATCAGCTTGTAGATAGTCACTCTCCTTACACCTGCAGACAGGACTGAACGGCTCAGGCTACCTGGCAAGGCAGCGAGTTTGAGGATCATGGACTTTGACTCATGAACTTAAAATACCATAGTAGTTTCTCTTTTAAAAAGCAGAATTCATGAAACTGTTACAATGGCTAAACACAGTTTTATTTGGTCTGCACAGTATTTTAAAATAAATAAAAAGCTAGTATTTTAGTCTTGTTCACGTGAAACTCCAGTTCTGGCTTCTTGAAAAACCCAAAAGATCTGGCAATACTAGGCCTGAGTCCTATCATGGCAACACAAAATAAAGGTTGTTCCCTTTAAAATGATCCCTCTGCCACTCCCTATGTCTTCCAAACATGAAACTGTGTTTCAGTTACTGTTTCGTGAGTAGTATTAATTTGTGAAAACACCCAGCCCTCTAAACTCGTCAGAATTTGGGTCTGAGACTGTGGCCTCTCAAATAGCAGCAGTTTCCTCTACACCGCCTCTGACACTGGGTCTGGAGGTGGAAGACTCCTCTCTCCTCATTGCTGCTTCCCATCTGTTTTCCTCTGCTCCCTCCATTAAAATCCTGTCATCGGGCCGTGCCATTTGCCACCTGGATACTTCTTCATGCAGTCATCTGCCCCAGAATGCCCTCAACATCCTCCCCCTTCCCCGCCCCCTGGCCATGCCGTTCCTTTAAGGGCCTAGTTCCTGTCTCACTCTCGCCCTCTACCGCCATTCCAGTTCTAGCTCTTGGGGATTTCAATACCCACAAAGATGACCGGTCCAGTGTCCTGGCCTCTCAGTTCATTGGTTGGACTTGAAAAGCTTTTCAATGATTTTTTTTCCTTCTGTTTTGCCTCAGCTACAACTTTGTTCATAAACTTCAGCTTGTCTTTACCAGTAACTCACTCTTGCAGGATCTCAAACCTCTAACCCCTCCTTCTAGCTTACTCACTCTGGCACCTCATTTGCAGTGATCCTTTGACCTCCATGGAGAACCCGTCTCCACTAACAACACCACCTTTCCACATCTCTCACCCCTCTCACGTATCCCCCTTCTCCTAAAACAGCTTAAATTACACACTTGCAGAGAATCTTAACTCCCTTGTTCTTTTGTCTCATTATATTCACATGGCTTAACCACAATTTGATTAAACCCAGCGGTCTGCTTATTCCTTGCCTGCACCTGAACATGAACTAGAAAAAAAGAAAAAAAAAAAAAGATACAGCAGTAGGACAATTCTTTCAGAGGTTTGCCGTAAAGAGAAGAAAATGTGGGCGGTAGTGGAAGGGGGAAATTAGGTCAAGAAAGAATCTTTTTTTAAGATGGGAAAGATCTTGGCATGTGTATATTCTGAGGGGAATGATGCAGCAGAAAGTATTTGATGATGTAGGAGAGGAAGGGGAGATTTCCCAGGTCCATAGTTCTTAATAGGTTAGTGAAGACAGAATCAAGTGCACAACTCTGTGGTTGGTCTCAGCTAGAAGCAAAGCTAGATCATGTACAGTAGCAGGAGAAAAGGTAAGCACATGCGGGCATGCGGGCACAAGAAGAGTTAGATAGGCAGATGTGCCCTGAAGCACTCTAATCAGGGCTTCACCTCCACCATGCTTGCCAAGCCCATCAATGACTTCCATGCTGATAAAGCAAGTTCTTGCCCTTATTACTTACCGGCAGCATTTGATAAAACTGATTGTATCCTCCTGAAAATACTTCATTTCCAGAAAATCACTGCCTTCTCAATTTCTTCTGTTATTTCCTCCTCTCCCCAAACTAAATGATAGTTTCCCAGGAGTTAGTCCTCAGAGCTCTTTTCTATTTATAGTTATTCTCTTGGTAATTTCATCCAGTCTTGTAGCTTTTTTAATAAATGATTTAAAAAAAAATTTTAAGTTTATTTATCTTAGACAGCACGTAGGCAGGGAAGGGCCAGAGTGAGAGGAGGAGAGAAAGAATCCCAAGCAGACTCCATGTTGTCAGTGAGGAGCCTGACGCAGGTCTCAAACCCACGAACCATGAGATCATGACCTGAGCCAAAATCAAGGGTTGTATGCTTAACCAACTGGGCCATCCAGGCACCCCCCCAGTATTGTAGCTTTATAGCAACTATATCCTAATGAATGCCAAATTTCTATCATCAGCTTGTACAACTTTCCCGACTCCAGACTCCTATCCATCCATATATTTGGTATCTCTACTTAGTTGTCTGATAATTCAAGCTGATACATGCAGCTTTAGCTAATTCAAACTGCACGGAGCACCTGGGTGACTCAGCCTGTGCTGTTAGCACAGAGCCTGCTTGGGATTCTCTCTCCCTGTCTACCCTGCTTGTGCTCTGTTTCTATCAAAATAAATAAATATTTAAAAAAACCAAACTGCATAGCATATCCATTCTTTTATTTTTATGTTTATTTATTTTGAGAGAGAGAGAGTACACACACACACAAGTGGAGGAGGGGCAGTGAGAAAGGGAGAGAATCCCAAGCAGGCTCCGCACTGTCAGCACAGAGCCCTATGTGGGGCTCGAACTCACAAACTGTGAGATCATGACCTGAGCCGAGATCAAGAGTCAGACACTTAACTAACTGAGCCACCCAGGCGCCTCTCCATTCTATTTTTAAAAACATTTTTTTAAGGGGTGCCTGGGTGGCTCAGTCGGTTGAGCGTCCGACTTTGGCTCATGTCACTATCTCACAGCTTGTGAGTTCGAGCCCTGCATTGGGCTCTGTGCTGATAGCTCAGAGCCTGGAGCCTGCTTCTGCTTCTGTGTCTCCCTCTCTCTCTGCCCCTAACCCACTCGCATTGTCTCTGTCTCTCTCAAAAATAAACATTAAAAAAAATAAAATAAAATAAAAACAATTTTTAAGTTTATTTTGAGAGAGACAGAGTGCAAGTGGGGTAAGGACAGAGAGAGAAGGGGAGAGAGAATCCCAATAGGCTCCACACCATCAGCACACAGCCTGAAGTGGGGCTCGAATTCATGAATCTGAGCCAAAATCAAGAATCGGACTCTCAACCGGCTGGGCCACCCAGACATCCCTAAAGCAATGCTTCTTGTACATGTCCCTCTACACAATGTTTCTCTAGGGTATGTAGGCTTTCCTACTTTGCATTATGGTCTACTAGCACAGTTTAGTACAAGCCTCCATTTACTTACTTTTGTCCAGATTACTCCAATAACTTCCTGTTGTTTTTTTTAAACATTTTAATTTTTTAAAGAAATCTCTACACTCAACGTGAGGCTCAAACCTAAACTCTGAGATCAAGAGTTGCACGCTCTACTGACTAAGCCAGACAGGTGCCCCAATAACTTCCTATTTCTAATGGTTGAGTGATCCTATTAATCAAATCATGCCACCGCTTCCTATTTTAGACCTAAAGACATGTCTTCCTCTAATTAACTCACAAAATTACAGGTAACTTGGGGTGCAAAACATTAATGTTTTAGGAAAAATTACATATGAAGTAAGTTTGACTACTGACATCACTGCCCTATTTAGCCATTTTCTGTGAACTAGTTATTGAAAACTACACTGTAGCAAAGCTGTACTAAATGAATGCTAGAGCTAGAACAACTGTATACCATCCTACATAATGAATCATTTTCCTTGTAAAAGCATACAGGATTCCACGACTTCTGACTTTTAAAAGACATAGTAAACAAAATGAAAACACATCACAGACTAGGAGATTAATATCTAGAATATATAAAGAACAGATCAGTAAGGAAAAAAACTTAAAAATTGGGCAAAAAATATGAAAAGTCCAATGTACACAATAGGAAGGTGTTCAGTCTCACTAGTAATCAGGAACATGGAAAC